CCGGGGGGAGGCGGGAACCGGGGGGAGGGGAGGGGGGTCCCGCTGCCCCCCCATCCGGTGTTTTGTTCATTTTGGGGGGGGGTCTTTTTTGCCCCTCCCCCTCATTTATCCCCTCCCTTAGGGGTCCCTCTTGTTTCGGGGTCCCCCTTTGTGCCTCGGTGCCCGCGCAAATAGGGCCCCCCCGGGCGGAAGGCACCGTGCGGGTGGTTCCGCCCGTTGCACCCCCCCCCCCAATGTCTTTTAACGGGCGGGAACAACCTATGGAAGGGGGGACCCTATGGACAGGGGAACCTTATGGAGTGGGGGGTGCTATGGAGGGGGAGGCCCTATGGATGGGGGAGCCTATCGAGAGGGGGGACCCTATGGACAGGAGAGCCTATGGAGGGGGGTCCCTATGAAGGGGGGACCATATAGAGGAGGAGACCCTATGGACATGGGAACCTATGGAAAGAGAAATGTTATGGGGGGGCCTACGGAGGGGGGACCCTATGGAAGGGGGAGCCCAATGCAGCGGAGACCCTATGGAGGGGAGAACTCTATGGAGAGGGGCACCCTATGGAGGGGAGGGCCTTACAGAGGGAGCACCCTATGGAGGGAGGATCCTATGGAAGGGGGAYCCTGTGGAGAGGGGGGCTGTGGAAGGGGGACCCTATAGAGGAGGGGTTCTATGGAGGGGGGAGCCCTATGGAGAGCTGAACTCTATGGAGGCAGGATCCTATGGAGGGGGGTCATATGGAGGGGGAGACCTATGGATGGTGGACCCTATGGAGGGGGGAACCCTATGGAGAGAGGACCCTATGGAGAAGGGGGGGCTCCCCATGAAGAGGGGACCCTATGGAGAGGGGCTACCTGTGGAGGGGGGACCCTATGAGAGGGGAACCCTATGGATGGGGGGACCCTATGGAGGGGGTGGAAGAAGGATTCTATAGAGGAGGGATGCTGCGGATAACGCAATCGCATAGAAAGGGCTGTCATATAAAGAAGTTATTCTATAGGATCGATGTTAATCATGTACAACCCACTTAATGCTGCTGGTCTGTGTTGTTACAGGGTCCCCTCTGAGCAGCTTGTCCCGCCTGGAGGAAGAGGAGGAGGAGGAAGAAAAGCAGGAATAGAAGAAGGAAGAAAAGAAGCAGGAGGAGGAAAAGAAGACGAAGGGGAAAGGAAAGGTGGGAGAGAAAGAGGAACAGGAGGAGGAGGAAGAAGAAGAGAAGGAGAAGGAAAAAGAAGAACAGGAGAAGGAGGTGAAGGAAGAAGAAAAGAAGAAACAGGAGGAAGAGCAGGAAGAGAACGGGAAACAGGAGAGGAAGGTAAAGGAGGAAAAGGAGAAGAAGGAAGAGGAGAAGGAGGAAGAGGAAGAGGAAAAAGAGGAGGAAGAGGAGAAGGAGAAAGAGGAAGAGGAGGAAGAGGAGAAGGAGAAGGAGAAAGAGGAAGAGGAGGAAGAGGAGAAGGAGAAAGAGGAAGAGGAGGAAAAGGAGGAAGAAAGGAAGGAGGAAAAGGAAGAGAAGGAGAAAGAGGAGGAGAAAGAAGGAACAGAGGAGGAGGAGGAGGATGGCGGAGGAGAAGAAGCTCAAGCTGAGCCAGGCGCTGCTGCCGCCCGAGTCCATGAAGGGGATGGCCGAGGCCATGGGGCTGCCCCAGGTGGCCGAGGAGAGTTGTCACCTGCTGGCCGACGAGGCCAGCTACCGCCTCAAGGAGATCGCCCAG